TCAATTAAAACCTTATCTGCCGTTAGACATTTGTGTCTTACGTCATCCATAAAGGCCGAATGTAATTACCTATGTAGCATTTTGGCTGCCCATGTGCATGACTAAAATACGAGACGCTGATAACAACGAAGTAGTTACTATTTATATAATTTTACAAGGAAAATATTTACTGAAATTAATGCTAAATTTATATGCATTAAACATTTATTACAGTGGAAAGGTTCTCGAATGGCGACCAGACGACCATCAGTGGGCAAGCTCCCACTGGACCAGGCACGGACGATCGCGATACGACGTATGCGAGTGGCGCAGGACCGATCGGTGTGGAGATCCTTGGTCTATGTCCAGCAGTGGGCATCGTAATACTGCTGAGATAATGCAACATTATCTATATCATGCCCGGAATTTCGTCTGCGTGGAAAATTGGTTTCCCATACAAACTTCTACTCCAAGTTTCATCCCCTTCCCTTCACTGGGACTCAAACTATCTACATACAACATTTTATCTAAATTGTTCAGCGGTTTCACAGACAGACAAACAGACACACTTTCACATTAATAATATCATTATTCATACGGATGAAGCTAGAAGTTCTCAATAATAACGGTAGTTAGCATTATTACGTTCTGTGAGGATCCTGCAAATGTAGAAAGTTTTCCAATGGCTGGTCTGGTCATAGGAGAGGTGAACAAAACATTTAAGTATGTTTAAAGCACGTTAAGCAGTTAGTCTAGGAGTTATCTATAGGCCTCGTCTCCCATGCATGGTAGGTCCTTTTTTTGTGACGCAGGCAAAACCTCTATTTACAGACGACGACACCTTTAAGAGACGGTGTGGCGGCGCCGTCACACCTGGCTCCCGCAAGGCCTTGCGAGCCCCCGCAGTGGCTGCCCACTGAGGACCCCGTAACTCTTATGAAAACGCTCTAAGCTGCTTAGTGCGAAACCGGGATCCCCGTTTGTGTGTGTTCTTCCTATTTAATCCATTTATGAAGATCTTTGCTCCAGTATTGGAGATATTATTACACTGATATGATTGCTAGTGATAATGTTTATTATTACGTGATTATGCAGGGTTTTTGTATTTCACTAAATATAAGATTGGCATATTGTGAACATTTTACTAACTCGCATCGAAAAGTTTCCTATGAATTGTGTGCCGTTCCCAAGTTTGAGCAAAAGGTGGGAAGTTTGGACGTGAAAAGGTCTGCTTGGCTTTTACTGTCCACCCATAAGTCAAGTGGACCCTTAGCTAAGTCCTTAGGCTGGCTTTAAACATGGATTCCGTTATATGAATTCACATCTAAATTCCGGTTAACTCACACAAGTTTTATTGATTCCATTTGGTCTATGATATGATCAGTTGTTTTGCGAATGCCTTTAAAAAGTAAAGTGTCAGTCACACTGATAGCTTACACAGACTAGATCGCTTACAACTGCATCCCTATGCATGCATTAAAAGTATCCCGAACAACCGAGGACAACAAGAGACAGGACCGGATAAAATAACGAGGGTGTCCCCGAATAAAATAGAACGTATATGACTAAGCGCAGGTACAAGCTTTCAAACGTTATTTGTAATTTTTTAGAAACCCTAATGACAAGATAATGATGTCGACATTCTAGTAAATTTTCGGCAACGTAAGCACTTATGTTAAAATATCAATGAAGAAAAAAAAACAGACGAAAGCCTTGCCTACATTTTTTCATGTGTTGCATCTACATAATATGATTATATAGATTACGGTCGAGTGATGGTTAGCGATGCAAATGAGTTTCGGTGTTCTTTGACTTCGCGCCAAGGGAATCGGAACCACTAATTTGAAACACCTAATTGACAAAACTACTTTTTCGCTAGTAGATATAGCTGTTATGTTAATCAGTCAGGTATATCTACGTGTTACACCTATTTTGGACGACACGGTTCCCTTAAAACGGTGGACGAATTTATTTACTCAGCTACCACCATACCATCAGCAACACGGGTTCTTGTCAAAAGGTAATTTATTAGATGCAATATCCCAGCTGCAGAGAATATGGACAGATATTTAGGAAAATTTTAGGGAAGATAAAGATGAGACGGGTCAACTCATAGTGAATTCTCCACCTTCAGACATGGATCAGAAACAAGAACGCTGAAAAAGTCAATCGTCATTGCATTGAGGCCTTCGAGATGTGGTGTTGGAGGCTGATGCTTCTGATTCAGATCCCGATGACTGCATTCCAAACAAACGAGGCGTGAAGTAAATATCAAAGCAAGACTTTCCACTGCCTGTCTGAGGATGTTTGAATTCTTAGATCACATTGACAGGAAAGATGGAGATAACTTATGGTGACCGAAACAGTCGATGAAAAACGAATGAGAGGCCGCAGCCCAACTAGATGGTCAGTTTCGCTCAAAGCTGAAAACCAAGCTGCACGAAGCACCAAAGGCAGACACAGAGCAAGGAAGATAATTAAAAACATCGATATGCTTTTGTAAGTTTCTGCACACGTCTGTCAAAGTTCTCCATCTTATAGAAGATTGAACCAGAAACCCATTGGTTGGTGTTAATAGGGATGATGACAATTTTTTTTTCTTCGTTTATCAGGCAGATTATCAAAAAGTATTGGACACTTATTTTTTCTTTTTTCACATAATATAAATATTGCAGAGATATATTGATTTGAAAAGTCGCATGACGGCACGTTTGAGTACACTTATAAGTGAAAATTCACTCAAAAGTGACGTCACGAGCCCCTACTCCCAAACTTTGACGCGCTATAACTTTGTCATTTTTTGGTTGATTGCCCAAAGAAAAAATACGTGTCCATTATTTTTTGATCATCTAACTGACGGACTAAATAGAATTTCGTTTACTGTACCCCGTCATCACCCCTATTTGTTGCAGCTCGTATCAATCATCCCTTCGCATTTGGACTCTATCAGCTTTTTAAATAACGTATTGAACTTACGTAAACTTATTTGTGTTGGTAAACATCGCATGCAACAAACGTTTCGATGATAAATACGGTCTGACTTATAAAACGCAACTTTTCCTTGAATTTTACTGCAGGGGCAGACGTTGTCTTGCCCAAAAATAAAAAACAAATACAAAATCCGACTGAAGCCCAATAATGGGTTGAGTTTGCTGTTGCGAGTTGTCGGGGGCTTCAATTTTCATTCTAATTAATTTATTTAGAAAACCAACAGCGTGACAGAAATACATATTTGTTAGAAATACATGTTTTCTTACTTACTAACAATAAGCTTAATAAGGTTTTGGGTTTTGTAACTGAAAATTAACTTTCATTTACATAGCCCGATTATGTTTTATAAACTCTGTATTTAAAAAGTCTCCCTAGATAACCAAAACTGTTATCTGTAAACAAGGTTGTTACAATACTACTTATCGGTTGTTAACTGTAAACAAAATTTTGATAAATTGCTCCACGCTGATCGTTATACATTGTAATTTACATGCAATTTTTAAGACACCAAGAGTTACTCCATTCTACCCTAATGTTTTGTGTGTTATTGGTTTTCATAACTTGCGAAAATTTTCATCAGAGACTCTCAGTCATATCCAATAGTGGTGTAGATAGGGGAACTCCCCAATCCCTTAAAACATTTTTTTATCTTTTAGGTAAGTACAGCGCCTGTACTCGGACTTTCGATATAAAATATTGTGAATTTCATCGTTGTCCATCTCCAACTATCTCACTAACTTACGACTACGTGACTTACAACTTTTAGTATAGTAGAATATAAAACGACACCACGGAGTTTGTATCATGAACTCCAATATCAATTGAATGATCTGCGCAGATGAAAAAAATTCCGCCGAGGACTTACCATGGATTCAACTACAGAACACAGAAAGATGTTAGAGCGCTTGTATGGGAACAGATGTCTCTGGCTCGCCCTCACTACACTTCCTCCTAATAGATAATAGCCAATCAAACGACACGACATCAAACAATCGAACCAATCAGCGCTCACACTCGAGAGCAACGAACCAATCAGAACCAAGTTTTGGTCAAGATATGAGTATTTGCTCACACATAACTATGGCGCGCCTGCAACGCCCACAAGGTCCTTGTAACCTCTTTCTGTGTTCTGTGAATTCAACGCACACGGTGTGCGAACTTTTGTTGCCCAGACATTTAAAGAAGTGCACGCTGTGGAATTGAGTATTCTCATATTACATTGTGTTGTAGTTAACTTGAAGCTTAAGAAAAAGAGAAGACGTTTTAAAAGACAATACTAGGCCCTTCCTTTAAATCGGATAAAGTTCGCTGTGTGCGGTGCTGCGTCTAGTCATGAGAGTTATATTTTTTTCGGGGAAACCCCAGTACTTTTGTCCTGTCCGGTCTCTCGGTGTCCTCGGTTATTCTGGGGATTTTTTGTACGCAGTACTATTAAACCGTCGTATGTGCTACTCGATGCAGTTTGTAAACGATCAATTTTAGCGGACAATGAGTCCGCGGACAAAAGTCCCTCGTGTGCGGCCATAAAGAACGGTACGCCTTTTAATGGGCCTTCCGATGCCAGGATAACCTCACTGGACGGCAATTACGTATCAAATTCAGTACAACACTAAAATTATAAAGTTATTGAGGAATTTATTACCATGCCAATACTCTCATAAAAAACTGCACGTTGTTCAGACAATAACACTAACCATAGAAACAGCTAAACGATGGCAATAGAAGAACTTATTCGAATAGGTATAACAATCTAACTATAAATATCCGGATTCTTGAAAAGGTTTTTACCATTATGAATTAGATACAAACTCTATATCAAACCAAATCCTAAGTAAACTGTTGAAAGTTTTAACATTTTACGCTTAACTGAGAAGAGAATAACGTTGTCTGAATAAGATTATGTTTATATAAGAGAAAAAGGTTAAGTTTATAGTTATAAGTGTATGATGCGTTCGCCCTTATAGGAGCTATAACTAGGAACGACATAAATGTATTGTAGGTATGCCAGCTTAAGAAAATAATAAACTTACCTCTTGCAAATACCACTTCTCTACTTCCATAAAAACGGCACTGCACGGTCTTCCGTACAAAAGAGCGAATTCATCTTTAGTAACATCTAATCTCCTCTTCAATCTATCGATATAATTCAAAGTTAGATTACCGTTCACAACCCTATCCTCCCCGGGCATCATAGTACAAGTTTTGTTGTACATCACTGTATTGAGAGGACAACACTTGTGGAAACACTTTTTCAATTCACAAATGCATCCAAACGGCCTCACTTCACCACTGATGTTCCTTTGAAAAACATATTTTGGAGGGAAACGCACTCCGAATTTCACGAAGGAGTTATCCGCTGACAATTCGGCATCACTCAAGTCTATGCCAGTGTTGATACTGCACGGTTCCGACGTGACATCACTAACGAGCGCGAACACAAATAAAATAAACATTTTTACTGTTTTATAATTGAAACTTTTTGATATCATGCCAATGTGGGATGCGACTAAAGCGCGGAATTCGCAACAATCAACTGAGTTTTTAGATTCAACGATCTGAGTGGCGCCCGTGTGTCAGGCGGTGCGAGCGGCGAGGAGAGACCTACGAGTTGAGTTGGCTTTTATACGTTATACGTGTCCATAACTTTAACCAACGGAAGCCCCTTGATAGTGAACTTTTAGGGTACTGTAAGCTTTGCAAAAGATTAGATAAAAATATAATTTAAATCAGTTATCCTATTTTTCCACATTATAAATAGCTTTAGTGTTTTGACATTTTGTCACAAAAGTATCTACAAGCATTAAAATTTGTTTAATACGTATGGTGTATAGATGTTTCCTTTTTGCTTTCGGTTTCGTTGAAACTTGAGCTTTTTGTATTAATATTTAAGTATTGGGTATGTTTTAATTCAATCATATTTAATTACTCGCTATAATAAGTACGTTTGCTATTAAACCGGTACTGGAATAACAAAATTGCAAGTCACATAACAAGGAAATAGAATGTCAGCGGCATTGAGCTTCTTGGATGAAATAATTTTGCAGTACTTGTGTTGTTTAATTTAATTTAGATGTTATTATATTTAGAAGTTTTAAGCATTTTACTGCTAGATATTTAAATCTAAAGAAAATTTTACGAGAAAATTTCCAGTCGGTCCAGGTTTTAGACGAATACCCGGGATTTATTTCTAGTAAAATTTTAATTTATTTATTTAGTTTTATATCTAGATGTTGTTCGGTTTTTATTTTCGTCTCACACAACACATTTTATTAACTATTGTCGTATTTTATTAATAATGCTATTTAAAGGCAAACATAAAAATTAGGTCATAAACGTATCATTTAACACGAAACATTATAACAAACATATTTACGTACTAAGGTGTAATTAAATAGAAAGTCTCTCAATAAAATCGAAAGGAATAAAATGTTTTTTATATGTTTTAAACCCGTTTAAACTTTGACTGAGAATGATGAATATTGCGCTGAAGATGTCATAAACTGTTTGTTCAGTTTAGTAGAATTACGTTTAGCATCAGAGTTTAGTCCAGTCATTATATACATTTGGAAATGCAAATGAACCGAGAAAGCCAAATTTTGGATATTACGTGGGGGTGGCTAGAAAAGCTTAAGTTCAAATTGTCGACCAAAAAAACCTTGTGGGTTTTCCGCCATCTTGAAAAAAGGGTTAAACTCAGTTTTTTTATCATAACTCGGTTCCCCGTCGAGATACGAAAATTTTTATGGAATACTTTTTTGTTGCTCTTTGTACGATCTACAATTAAGGTCCCATACATTTTTCGCGTATCGACCATCGTTATCGAGATATCGATAAAAAAAGCCACAAATTTTGGGAGAAATTTTTTTTTTTCGCTATTTCCTTCTTTCTCGCGAAAAATATCGAAAAATGTTTCGAATAAAACTTGTAGAGCCTGTTCAGACCTACAAATTCGTTTTTTAATTTTTCATTTTCGAGAAAAATTACGACCTCCAGCGCGCCGCAAAGTGAGTAAGACTGTGCCCGGTTTCGATTTAGCCGCTCGCACGGTTGTATCCACAACGTAAAAATTGATGAATTATTGGTTAAGGGATTTATTGCTATACAAAATAAATGAATAATCCAGCCACATTATAAATCAAACACATGAAATTTATTAATCAAAAAATGTTTATGCAGCAAAAATAATAATATTACACGTGGTCACACGTTTTTCTTCGTTTTGATGGTCCTGGCTGCTGTTGAAGTTCCTCCTCGGTACACTCTTCGAGTCGGGTAAATTCTTCAATCGCAGGAAATGATGCTGTGACGGTCGAAAAATCGTAATCTTCATCATCGTGATCGTCATTGAGTAATATCTCGACTTTGGCGACATTGTCGCATGTCTGTCCACTACAGTGCAGGCAAATAACCGAGCAACTAATTCCTGCTTTCCTGCACCCACAAGCAGCCCCACACTTTCCTTTACATTTGCACGAAATTAGTTTTAAAAGTTCAGGTGGAGCGGGTGCGGCTGTGGTGCAAATTGGCTCAAATTCCGGCGTCGGGCGCATTGGCGCCGACTTTGCGGCGCGCTGGAGGTCGTAATTTTTCTCGAAAATTAAAAATTAAAAAACGAATTTGTAGGTCTGAACAGGCTCTACAAGTTTTATTCGAAACATTTTTCGGTATTTTTCGTGAGAAAGAAGGAAATTGCGAAAAAATAAAATATCTCCCAAAATTTGTGGCTTTTTTTTGTCAATATCTCGACAACGATGGTCGATACGTGAAAAATGTATAGGATCTTAATTGTAGATCGTACAAAGAGTAACAAAAAAGTATTCTATAAAAATTTTCGTATCTCGACGGGGAACCGAGTTATGATAAAAAAACTGAGTTTAACCCTTTTTTCAAGATGGCGGAAAACCCACAAGGTTTTTTTGGTCGACAATTTGAACTAAAGCTTTTCTAGCCACCCCCCACGTAATATCCAAAATTTGGCTTTCTCGGTTCATTTGCATTTCTAACCCGATTTTTCCGACGTAATGACTGGACTAGTTGTCTATTAGACGTTTGCCAGACTATCAAAACTTATTCTTTAAGGTCCTTATGACATATTTGCAAAGACATTGAAAAGAAAAACTATTAAAACTTATATCAGCGGACCAGGCAGTATCAGTCAGCACCATAATTCAAAGCACAGAAAACTGCTTCATTAAATAAATAGTATTGAAATAGAGCAGCTAATTTATTTTTCTCGGTAACGTGTTCTGTCACTATTTACCAAATTTAAAAGATCTTTGGAGTCTGTCAAGAAACCATTGCGTTACTATTTTGAAAGATTATGAGGCAAATTATTTTCCCTAGTTAGTCTGCTGATTCCCGGAGGAACAGGATGAGGAGCGTAGTTCTCCACGGAAAGGCAGGGCCCTGCCCGGTTAAAACCAGACAATATTCCTGCACACGGTCACCCGACCGGCACCGTCGAGAGTGCGGGAACCATGGGGGGGTGAAAAATGCCCACAGTCCCCAGTCCAAACACTGCGTAACTATTTTGAAAGCTTATTAGGCAAATTATTTTCGTTTTTAATTAGGAGGAAGTATAAGATGGCATCATTTGCCGGTTCCATTATATATATGTATGATTAAATACATTATATTCTTGTTATTCGTATTTGATGATCTCAGTGGGTAAAATAGACCATAATATGTATACCGATTTTCAAGGTGTCGCGTACTCTGAAGTCCTGAGTTCGAATCCCGGTAGGGTTAATGATGATTGCGAGAATTCATACCTGAGCCGGTAGTTATCTATGTATCATTATATGTATTTCTATCCATTACTCCAGCAGCCCATAACGTGCTTAATGTTGATGTTGTTGAGCATCTTCCAACCACATGATATATTTATTTATTTCTTCCTCTACCTTTTTATTATCTTATATCATCTTTTTGTACTTCGATATTTAAAGATTGTACACCTGTAATTAACTGTGAAAAATACTTAGGAATTAATTGAGAGAACCCTTCTTTCGGAGCATAGATTTTGTTAATATCTTAAAACTTCGATCGTAATTAGAATTAACAATTTGGGGTGTTGTGCCTCCTCGTAACTACTACTTGTAATCTAAATTAACGATCACTTAACACCTTTATTTATTACAAATTCTTTTGTAATATATATTCTTAAATTTTCCTATACCTAAATAGTCACAGAACGGAAATAAGTAAAAAAAAATGTTCTTATTTTAGTTTGGATCAAATAAAAAAACTAATTTTACGAGGTAAGAGCGTGTTTTTTATTACTTACCATTAATATTGACATTTCAGATTACCCTTTACTGGATCTGTGTTTACAACACCAAGTGGAACAGGTAAGGCTTTCTAACTCTTTAAAAGTGCTTTTAAAGTCAAACTATTAAATCATCGCCACATTGTTTTTTGTTCATCTGTAGCACTTTGCATTATATTTTAATTCTTTTCCACTAGAAATGTGGTTCATTGGTAGAAAACTCGCGCGCGGTCCGGGTCCCGAACCCTAGCCAAATACATGACTGTAACCGGTAAACACACTGCGAAACATGCGTGCACAGGCTCCGTAGGCTCCTCCCTGCCACTCCGTCAAACTCGTAAGCTCATCGGAAAGACAGGGCCCTACCCGGTAAAAACCAGACAATACTCATGCGCACGGTCACCCGACCGGCACTATGAGGACCGGGGACCTTGGTCTGCTACCCGTGGGGAGTGTGGTAACCATGGGAGGGTGAACAATGCCCGAAATCCCCTGTGAAATTCAACTGCCTTTCAACAAAATTCAATTGCCAATAATGGGTCTGGTACGTAAGTGGTTCTCTGAACTTACGACCATATTTGGCAGTGTTCTCTCCTTTTACATAATTATAGAGCATGATAGACTGTTGTAGTTGTTCTGTGATTGGGCAAATATGTGTGTTGTGTAGTAAATTTCGTATGTAGGAAATGTAAAAAAAAAACTGTTTACTGTTTAGCGCATGATGAGGCCATCTTTAATTACAGCATATGTGTAAGTTTGTTTGTATTAATATAGCTGTGTTGATGGTCCATAAATAAATAAATAAATAATTAAATAAAACTACGATTTAAAAATGTGCTTAGTCTGCTTATTTTGAGTTATCGGGATTTGAGTGTTACCGTTAGGTAAAAATTTTAACTGAAACAACCACAATGAATTATGACTTTTAATGCTTTGTTAAAATTTCAACAATACAAAACGTAAGAAATAGATGCTTTACACAGAAAGAAAGAAACTTGAACGAAACGAAATATTACAGTTCATATTGGAACATATTACAAGAGTTATTAGCCTAGATTCAGCAATGCGTAGCGATAAACCATGCAAACGAGCCTTGCTTTTCAATATTTCTGTAAAATATTGAAACACCAGGCTATTTGGTAGGTAGCTATTCGGTGTTTCAATATTTTACAGAAATATTGAAACACAAGGCGCGTTTGCACGGTTTATCAATACGTCAAAATTATATAGAAAACAAACAAAACTCAGTGCCACTTGTACCAAAATTCTTAATTAAAAAATCTTTATTACTGTTAAATACATCATCTCATCTATGTAAATTATTTTAAAGTCAAATCAGATAGAGGTACAGTGAGGCTTAAACATAAGCTTTTAAAGTTTTAAAACTTTGGTGCAAGTAGGCCTCAATTGGCCTCAAGATAAATGCGAGCGAAACCTAGGCTAAAATTTAATTTGTCATAGAAAAAAGTAAGCAAGTATCTCTTAATTATCATAATATAATACAAAAGATCGCATTAGCAAACAATCCATTTTATTCTGTCATGGTACATTGAGTATAATTTTATTAAGATACGTTAACTATTATGTGAAAGGTAGCTTGTAGTATTACTTGGTTCTATGGTTTCAATTAAATTAAATTACTTTTTCACATACTTAAGCCACAAGTCACCTAATAAAAACGACAACTTTTGTACAATGCTCCCAAAAGGAGGTTTAATTAATTGTGAAGTCCTTTATTATTAGAGAGTACTATTTAAAAGTTAACATATAATACCTAAAAAACACAATAAAAAAGAACAGACGATCATAAAAAAAAAACAAATTAAGTACAAATGTTTATTATTAGTAATAAAAGACTTCACATCACTTAAAAAATAATATCATAAAGTACGTACAATAATGTATTATGGCAGTAATATTTTAATAAATAGGTAGCTTTATACTATAGTAAGATTTTGTTTATAATTAACATTACACTATATTAACAATTAATACTATCAACGAACTAAGCAGAGATCTACGTGATCAATACATTTTTAGTATTGTCCTTAAAATTTCAAATTTCTATAGCGTCTGGAAACACATGATCTAAGTAAGCTTGATTGCCATAACTCTGCAGAGGCCTTGGTCTAGCTCTTCTTAAATCAACCTCTTTGTTGTCGTTGGAACAGTTTCTATCGAACTTAGATGCAATTTCCCTAACCTTTCCCGGCCTTGGTTTATCATCATCCTCCATTTTACCATACCTTGCATCACTGACTTCTTTAAA